GGAAAAATATTTCCTCTAACTGTTGTGCTATTCACAATTCACTAACTATAGATACTCAGTTTAATCTGCATTATTAACATTTTCTTCATCACTTTCTTCAGTCCAGACAATCAGCAAAACAATAAATAAATAGAGGCAACAAACAGTAAATCATTTACTGATTTCTGTGTTATAAATACTCCCACTGTGACCAATTTCAAGGTGACATGAAGTCATTGACCCCTGAGTTGGGCAGAGACATGCACACGTTATATAATATTTCCATCATACAGATAGACTAGCCCTACATAACTTCAAGAACAGATGAGAGTGAAATGCAATATAATAAGTAGGAAGTGATACGTTCTGAGTATTACCTTTGGTTTTTTTTTTATATTATTGATTGTAAGCTTCTATAATTTAATTTTTAATAACAGCTCTGTTTAACAGCCAGCTAAAAATATTCCTGAAAATTTAACAACTGGCTCTCACAAGCCAGTAGAGACAGCTCCAGCACACCACTGCCAGGCTCCCATGACTTTTGGCTTCTGCAATGGGAGACGCTGGCAAGGGATGGGAGGACAGCAAGAGAGAAAACCAAAAACCAAACTGGTTGTGGTCAAGTCAATTCCAACTCATGGCAATCCAATGTGTTACAGAGTAGAATTGCTCCATAGGGTTTTCTTGGCTGTAATCTTATGGAAGCAGATCACCAGGCCTTTCTTCCACAGTGCTGCTGGGTGGGTTTGAACTGCCAACCTTTAGGTTTGTAGATGACTGCCACCCAGGGACCCTAGGAAGAGAGAAGGGTTAGGTTTTCCTTCTGCTCCTTCCTGGGATGCATTTTACAGCTCCAGGCTCCTCCTGGCTCAGTCAACACTATTCCACTCTTCCTTCCTCTTGCCCCTAGGGTACTGCCTTAGGCTGGGTTCTCTAGAGAAGCAAAACCAGTGAAGGCTATATATATACCCTTCATATGTATGTATAGATATAGATATGGAGCCGTAGTGGTGCAGTGGTTAAGAGCTGGGCTGCTAACCAAAAGGTCAGCAGTTCTAATCCATCAGCTGCTCCTTGGAAACCTATGAAGCAGTTCTACTCTGTCCTATTGGGTTGCTATGAGTCAGAATCAACTCAATGGCAACAGTTTTGGTTTATTTTTTTTATTTTTATATATGTATATATATATATAGAGAGAGATTTATCTCAAGAAAATGGCTCATCTGGTTGTAGAGGCTGGCAAGTCCCAAGTCCATGGGTCAAGTGTCAGGCTGGAGGATTCTTCTGACTCAAGTAGATGTGGGAGCCGACAAAACTCAAGATCGGCAGGTCAGACAGCAGGCTGCTGGCTTATGGGCTACAGAGACTGATGAGTCCAAGATTGGCAGGCAATACAGCAGGATGCTGGCTCAAGTCCCAAGAAGATGACGAGCCAGAGGCAGGATCCAGAGCAAGCAAACGAGATTTGCCAGAACATTCATATATATATTGAATGCAGGCCACACCCTGAGGGAACTCCCCTTACAACTAATTGGCTGATCACATCAGATCACATCATGGAGGATGACTACATCATGACATAACTGCCTAATTACATCATCACATAATTGACAAACAACATCATTACATAACTGCCAAACCACTGAGAATCATGGCCCAGTCAAGTTGACACACTATCTTAACCATCATAAGCTTCTTGGCTTCTCACTCTTGCTGGTCCCTGGGTGCCTCTTCACCCCTTGTTTCTTCCCTTACTCTGTCCATGCCTTTGTAACTAATCCCCTCATTATCGTTGTTATTAGCTGCCTTTGAGTAGGCCCCCAACTCATGGCAACCCCATGCACAATGGGACGAGACCCTTGTGATCCATAGGGTTTTCACTGGCTGATTTTCAGAAATAGATTGCCAGGCTTTTCTTCCTAGTTTTAGTCTGGAAGCTCTGCTGAAACCTGTTCAGCATCCTAGCAACATGCAAGCCTCCACTGACAGACGTGAGGTGGCTGCCCATGACGTTCATTGGCCGGGAATGGAAGCTGGGTCTCATGCATTGATGGTGAGAATTCTACCACTGAACCACCACTCCCTAGTCACCTCATTACAACCTGTCATTCTTTGTTTCCTGCTCGACCCTGCCAGCTTAAGTCCTGTGGTCACAACTGCTAATACTTCTGGTCTCAAATTTAAGAAGGATGTGTCCTTAGACAAGTTAATCAACTTCTCTGAGCCCCAGTTTTGTGAGGATCACGAGATGCATCAGGATATTATTTTGAAAGATTAACCAATGGGATTTTTTTCTCCTGCTGTAACCTGGTCTCCTTTAACCTATTCTCTAGCTGGGCAGCTGTACCCTAAAGCAGCCATTCCCTCTGGCACGGGACTTGGAGCATAAGTGGGGGAACAGTTTTTGAGTGTCAAAATCCAAGGCAGTGAAGGGCAATCCAGCAAAGATAACCTGATTAGCCACAGCATTTGCATCCTTCTGGGAGACTCACTGGTCCCTGAGAAGGCCCTCCTACCCTACAAAACTGTCCCTTGCACCAGATGGGAGGGGTGTGTTAGCAGAGTCCCCTGGTAGGATGGAGACCCAGGGAGGTGAGAACAAATGGCTGCAGGCTGATTCAGGCAGCCCAGTGGCCTACTTCACCGCGCCTGGTGCCCCAGTGTGCCCTGGTGGGCTGTCCAGACAGGACCGGGCGATGGCACTGTGGCAGCCCGTGTGGCTTGACAAGCAAGGGCCAGGCAATGATGTGCACCTTGGTGAATGGGAGAAGGACAGACAATGACGGGGATTCGGGGCTCCCATAACATCTCAACACTGAACAAATCCACCCCTGGCTTAGCCTCAGCAGACAGGAAGAGGGACTTCTGAATTAAAGGATGTTAATTTCCATCACCCGCAGAATGGGGTCTCTGATATGAAAGTGAGTAGTCCTAGAAAAACAAAGGCCACTTCCTGCCCCCATTTGAGGCTGAGGACTCACACCTGCCACAAGGAGGGGCACTAGAACTTCGTCAAGGACCTTCCCCGAACTGACTTACTGATCAACCAGCCTTTTCACTCTGTAAAATACACTGCCTGTGGCCCTACCATGAGAAATCCCCTAGGGCCCCCTGGTCACTTCTGTCCCCACTGGTCCAGGGCCACCCCAGCTGAGGGCCAGCTGTGCTTGTTCCTGTGCCCCTTAATGGCATGTTCGGTTACTGTCATTCATAACTTAATAACTGTTGTGAAAACCAATGAAGTACAAATGTGAAAACAGAACTGTGGTTTCTCCGATAATTACTGAGTGCTTTCTTAAAGGCGGAGTCCTTGAAAGGCATGTTGTTGGAAAAAGAGACCCCGGCCACATTAGGTGTAGGGGAGACAATTGTAAAAATCTGAGGAAATGTTACAAACCCAGAAAAATTCTGCACTCAGAGCACCTCAGGGGTCTGTTTAAATTCTCCCTCCAATTGAAAGAAACTGATACTGAAAGTGTAGATTATGCTCCACGTAGGTAGTCTGTGTCAGGAGGAAACCGTGGAACTCGGGACAGTCGACTCATGCTCAAAAGAAAAGTTTTTTTTAAAAAATAATATTTTATTGAGTTTTTGGTGAAAGTTTACATCGCAAGTTAGGTTTCCATTTGACAATTTCCACATAAATTTTTCAGTGACATTAGTTACATGGATCACAATGTGTCAACATTGTCTTTGTGTTCCAGTTTGTTCCATTTCCAGTACTCTAGTTTCCCTACCCCCTTATCTTCTCATCTTTGCTTTTTTTTATTGTACTTTAGATGAAAGTTTACTGAGCAAACTAGCTTCTCATTAAAAAAATTAGTACACGTATTGTTTTGTGACATCGGTTGCTAACCCCATGACGTGTCAACACTCTCCCCTTCTTGAACTTGGGTTCCCCAATACCAGCTTTCCTGTCCCCTCCTGCCTTCTCATCCTTATCCCTGGGCTGGTGTGCCCATTTCGTCTTGTTTTGTTTTATGGGCCTGTCTGATCTTTGACTGAAGGGTGACTCTCAGGAGTGAATTCATTACTGAGCTATAAAGGTGTCTGGGGTTCATACACTAGGGGTTTCTCCAGTCTCTGTCAGACCAGTAAGTTTGGTTTTTTTTTTTTTTTTTTTTTTGAGTTAGAATTTTGTTCTATATTTTTCTCCAGCTCTGTCCGGGACCCTGTATGGTGATCCCTGTCAGAGCAGTCAGTGGTGGTAGCTGGGCACCATCTAGTTGTGTTGGACTCAGTCTGGTGGAGGCTGTGGTAGTTGTAGTCCATCAGTCCTTTGGACTAATCTTTCCCTTGTGTCTTTGGTTTTTATTCTCCCTTACTCCAGACGGGGTGACACCAGTGGAGTATCTTGGATGGCCGCTCACAAGATTCCAAAGAAAAGCTTTGTCTCTACATCAAAACATTGGCAAATGGATGTGTATTTATGTTTTAAGTTAAAGCACAATATTTAATGCCCATATATGTGTGCATATGGTATATGTGCATATTATATATAGTTCATTTTATATATATATATAATTTTTAAAAATCAATAAACCTCCAATCTCCAGGGCTTTGGGTGAGAAGTTTCCTGTGACCGGCATCACAGCAACTCAGCATCTCTCACTTGACAGGGGCTTCTATTTCCACCATTAATGTCAGAACACATGGGTGTCGTAGTTGGCAGCCCTTCCCAGGCCCAGCTCTGCTACTCGCCTGCCCGCTGTGTACCCACATCCCGCAGCCATGACCCCGCCGCACCGGGCCCAAGAGCTGGACGGCCGCACGGCGCCGCGGTCAGTCCGGCAGGGGGCGCTGCCCGGCCATAGTGGCCGCGCCGGGCCGGGCTCTGATTGGCCGGAGGCCGTGGCCTGCCCCCACACCCGCCCGCCCTGCGGACTAAGTGCTGCCGCCTGCTAGCTCCGGCCCCAGTCTGCGGGAGTCTGGGGCGGCGGCGGGGCCGAAGCGGCGTGGTTGAGGGGACAAGACCAGGGCAGGAGGGACCAGCCAGCCGCGAGATCCCCGCACCCAGCAAGATGCTGTCCTGGAGGCTGCAGACGGGCGCGGAGAAGGCTGAGCTGCAGGAGCTCAATGCCCGGCTCTACGACTACGTGTGCCGGGTGCGGGAGCTGGAACGCGAGAACTGGCTCCTGGAGGAGGAGCTGCGCGGCCGGCGCAGCCAGGAGGACCTGTGGGCCGAGGGCGAGGCCCGCTTCGCCGAGGAGGCGCGCGCTTTGCGGCAGCAGCTGGACGAGCTGAGCTGGGCCACAGCGCTGGCCGAAGGCGAGCGCGACACGCTGCGGCGCGAGCTGCGGGAGTTACAGCAGCTGAGCGCGGAGACACGCGCCGCCCGCGGCCGCCTGGACGCCGAGCTGGGCGCGGAGCAGCGCGAGCTGCAGGAGGCTCTGGGCGCGCACTCCTCCCTCGAGGCGCTGCTAGGCCGGCTGCAAGCGGAGCGCCGTGGCCTCGGCGCGGCCCACGAGCGCGATGTGCGGGAGCTGCGCGCGCGCGTCGCCAATGTGACCCTGCACTACCGCGCCCGTGCCACAGGCCCCGCCGCGCCCCCGCCGCGCCTGCGAGAGGTGCACGACAGTTACGCGCTGCTGGTGGCCGAGTCATGGCGGGAGACCGTGCAGCTGTACGAGGACGAGGTGCGCGAGCTGGAGGAGGCGCTGCGGCGCGGCCTGGAGAGCCGGCGCGAGGCCGAAGAGGAGACGCGGCTGTGCGCGCAGGAGGCGGAGGCACTGTGGTGCGAGGCGCACGAGCTCGAGCAGCTGCGCGCGCGGCTGGAGGAAGAGCTGCTGCGGATGCGAGAGGCTTACGAGCTGCAGGCCGAGGAGCGGCAGGTCCGTGCGCGCGGACGGCCCGCTCTCTGTGCGGGCCCGGAGCGCCCTGAGCGGGAGGAAGCGGCGGGGTTTCCCGGGCCGCAGCCCGTTAACCCGGGCGGGCTTCGTCCACGGGTGGGGCCGGCCCTGAGGGTACATGAATGGCATGGGGACCCGGCCTTGTTCTGCAGCGGGGCCTCAGCGTCCGCGCACCTCCCCAGCCTTGAAAGAAGAGTGCTGTTGGTTGGTCTATCGGCTCAGCGGGCCAGTGTCTGTGGCAGCTCCTGAGGGATAGCCCCATTCCCTTCATCTTGTCAACTTCTTTAGACCTTGACTAGGCGCATCTTGACAAACGACCCCCTCAGCTCCAGGTTTTCTTTCCATTTCCTGTGCTTCGTAGGCCTAAAAAAATAAACCGTTGCCATCAAGTCGATTCTGACTTCTCGTGACCCTGTAGGACGGAGTAGAACTGCCCTGTAGTGTTTCCAGGGAGCAGCTGGTGGATTGGAACTGCCGACTCTTTGGTTATCAGCCGAACGCTTAACCACTGCGCCACCAGCACTCCTTTGTAGGCCTACTGCACATAAAAAGTCACACAAGAAGCCTCTCTGGCTTCCAGACGTGACAGACCATTTCTTTTCTGGGAGGTCCTGGTGTTGGGAGGCAAGTACTTACCCGGAGCCATTCAAAATGGCAGCCACATTAGCGATAAGGCTCCCCTGGGGAAAACGTGAGTTGTTTTCCACAACAGTTTTATTTTGCCAGAATGGTTTCCTAGCTGGAAGCAGCTGGTTGTGGCAGTGGCTGCCTTGCTTGTTGGGTGGGGCAGCAACCGTCATGCAGAATAGAGCTTAATCAGAGATGTTTTTCTCACAGTAGAATCAAACATGAGATCTTTGCATAGCGTAAAAGTTGTGGAAAATTGGGTACTTGTCACAGGATGGGAGCCCTGGTGCCGCAGTGGTTAAGTGCTTGGCTGCTATCGAAAGGTCTGTGGTTTGAACCCGCCAGCCACTCTACGGAGAAGGATTACAGCCTTGGAAACCCTGCGGGGTAGTTTACTCTGCCCTATAGGGTCGCTATGAGTAATCGACTCCCCTCAGTGGGTGGATTTTGGTCCCAGGTTATTACAAGTGCAGAATAGTATGAACAGTTACTATTTCAGAGAAGCAGATCCTCTGACCCAACTGGAGACACCTGCGCTGCCTTACTGTTTCTATGTCAATCCAGCCCTAGCATTGGGCCCCTGTCCTGTCCCAAATCACACTATTAGTAGTTCTTGGGGCACTCCAGTTTGAAATATCATCCACACAACTTCAGAAATATTTTAAGAAAACAGTTTGCAGGTAAAGATTTATGATAGAGTGATTTCTAAAACAGAAGTAAAGGAAGTATGGTGGTTGTGGCCTGGGTGACTGATTATGTGACAGGTGTCCACAAATAATCAGCAAATGCTTATTGATCATCCCTGGGTCCCTAGCACTGCATTGGGGTTTCAGTATCAAAGAGCTGGAGTCTAGATGGGAAATCTATAAAGTAGCACATACTAACTTGTTTAGAATTTTACTGTTTGGGAGTATGGATTTTGTTTGGCCTCCGCCTCGTAGTTTTGGAAATCCTTCTGCTTGGCTTTACCTGGGTGGGGCAAGGACAGGGGCTGGCTTCAGGGTGAGCTGATTCCTGCATGCTCTGGACTTGGCTATGCAATGGTGGTCAGCATTGTACAGGACGGTATGATTCCTGCTGAGTGGAAGTTACCAACTGTCTTTAATGCAGGATTTCATGGAGCCTTTACCAGTGGGTATTGTGAGTGCCTGTGAAAGTTACTGTGTCCACTGAACCCTTATTTAGGGAACCCATACTACCACCTCCAGGACCAGTGTGGATTTGGAAAATGTTTCTTTGAAGTTTGCTGGGTGGACTGAATGCTTACTGTTTAGAGGCACAGTTCTCTGAGCTCACATCAGACCTTGAAGCTAAGTTAGTCCTCTGGGTTACCATATTCTTTTAAAATGCTTTGCCCACGGTTGCACCGTGACCCAGAGCCCACCCTCAGCTTCCCGGCCAGTCATACATCTTCTCTTGTTAGGCTTTGCTAGAGCAAGGATAGTGTCGATAAGGACTTGGATTTTTTTTTGGGCTCTAATTTTGTGGAGGTTTTATTGACAAAATGTTACCGGTTACTACCTTATCCATATCCTCAGTCTTTCCCCAGTTAGCTTAAAACAACATATTTCAAATTGCCTTCCAAAAGATTCAATACTAAGCATTGGTTTAAAAAAAAAAACTTGTAAAAATGCTAGGAATTGTTTTAAAGAGCAAGTATTGATGATTGAACACCAAGCCCCTGATTTTTTCTAATTCTATAGAAGGTCACTCTAGGGAGACTGAAAATATCTTAAAATTTGATTTAACTAATAGCCTGTGATGAATGCTTAACTAAGAGTTAGCCTTTATTAAGTGCTTTTTGTGGCGAGGCACTACAGGGGCCAAGCCCTTTACTGTACACATGTATTCACTCTTAGTCCTCACGCCAATCTTATGAGGTGGGTGCTAATATTAACCCCATTTTACAGATGTGGAAGCCGAGGCACATAGGTCCCCAGTTAGTAAGTGGTCAAGCCAGGGTTCAACTTTGCATTCATAGAATCATGATAACTGCTCTTCCTGAGGGCTAGCCCAGGAGACGTGGTGGCACCAGTGGTTAAGCGTTTGGCTCCTAACCAAAAGGTCAGCAGTTTGAATCCATCAGCTGCTCCTTGGAATCTCTATGGGGCAGTCCTACTCTGTTCTGTAGGGTCGCTATGAGTCAGAACTGACTCCACGGCAATAGGTTTTGCAGCCCTGGTGGTGAAGTGGTTAACAGTTTGGCTGCTAACCAAAAGGTCAGCAGTTCAAATCCACCAGCCGTTCCCTGGAAACCCTATGTGCTGTCCTTTAGGGTCACTATGAGTCAGAATTGACTTGACAGCAGTGGGTTTGGTTTAGAAGGGCTAGACCAGAGGTGCCCCCATTAACCTAAGATGCCTTCCCACCCTTCCAGCTGGCTGTTTTTGGAATAGTCTTAGGGTTAAGTCTCCTCCGTGTACTTTTTTCTGTGTTCCAAGCGGTATGATGGGAACCCCCCAGTCCTGGAGGTGAGAACCTGGAGCTGGACCCAGTGGAGCGGGGGGCCCCCATGCCTGGTGCCCAGTGTCTCAGGCCTCTGTCCTATCTTAGCTTGAAGGGGAAGATGCTCGCTTGGACTCTTCCTAGGAAAAGTCCATCCCAGAGGGCCTGCATGCCTTCTCCCTATTAGGTGAGATTCCATGGCCTGCTTCAAGCAGATTTGCTAGAGGAGTGTTCGCTGGATTGACACCCACGTTCCCAGCATTTTATATGTGACTTGGATCACTTGACGCCCGAGTGACACACCCTGTCTCCCAGACCCCAGGGTAGGAGGTTTTCGAGACATTTGTGATGTACGCTAGCCTTACCCTGTGAACACTGAGATTTTTGCTTGTGAAAGTGAGCGCTTCACCACTGAGGCAGACTGTTTCTGAAAGCCTTCCCTGTGCCCCAAACATGATCGACTGAGAACTGTCTTGATTGGAAGGCGGGTGGGATTAGACGCGTGGGTAAGGGTCAGTGCTTTGGCAGCTGCCCTGCCTGGGCCTGGATTTTGGCTCTGCTGCCTCCTGTGTCTCAGTTTCCCCATTTGTAAAACAGGATTCATGAAAGCAGATCACCGGGCACCTGCGTTCAGTCGTTCATTTATTTGACAAACTCTAACGCATTGAGTATGTGCCACGCTGTGTCTTAGTTGTCTATCCCCCATGTGCCGGGGGTGCAGCAGTGAAAAAGACAAAACTACACAAGAGAAAATGCGGTAACTTCAGAGGTCTTGAGGTGGGAGCAGCGTGCCATGTTCAGGGAAGAGCCAGGCAGCCAGCCGAGCGCCTGGAGCGGAGTCCGCGAGAGGGAGAGCCGCTGCTGTATGATGGAGGCAGAACTTCATTCTGAGGAGATAGGAACCCGCTGAGGGTTCTGAGCAGGAGAGAGCCGCAATCTGACTGTGTCAGAACAGAATCTCTGTGGCTGCTCTGTCAGAGATAGACTGTCAGAGATAGGGGCAAGGGTGGGAGCTGGGAGACCTTTTCAGGAGACTGTTGAAGTCCCTGGGTAGTGCAAACGTTTAATGCGCTTGGCTGCTAGCCAAAAGGTTGGAGGTTTGAGTCCACCAAGAGGTACTTTGGAGAAAGGCCTGAAGATCTATTTCTGAAAACTCAGCTACTGGAAACCCTCTGGGGCACAATTCTACTCTGACACACACGGCATCTCCATGGGTTGGAATCAGCCTGATGGCAGCTGGGTTGTTTTATTTTAATTGCAATAATCAAGGCAGGAGGCACTGGAGGCTTGGACCAGGGCAGCAGTGAAGGGGCTGATTTAGGGTTCTGTTTTGAAGTTGAAGCCCACAGGGTTTGCGGATGGATTCTTGTGGCTGTGCAGCCAAAAAACCACACACACCCCCACCCCTGTTGGCGTGGAGTCAGTTCTTTCTTATAGTGACCCTATAGGGCAGAGTAGAACTGCCCCTTAGGGTTTCCAGGGAGCGGCTGGTGGATTCAAACTGCTGACATTTTGGTTAGCAGCCGAGCCCTTAACCACTGCGCCATGTGGCTCTGTAGAGGGAAGAAATCAAGATTGATTCCAGGGCTGGTGAGGGGAAGTGCTCTTCACTAAAGGTGGGTGGGCTTCGGAGGGGGATGGGAGTTCAGTTTGCACATGTTGGGTTTAAGATGCCTGTTAGACACCCACTGTCATCGATTGGAAGGTATAATCATGAGTCTGGAGTTCAGGGGCGCCATCTGGGCCGGAGATAGAAATACTTAGAACTCCATTAATGCTTTTTATTATCACTACATTTAGTTTTTGTGTCTAAATGAGGTTATCCCAGGATTGACGCTCCCTTTGAGATCTAACAAGATTTAAGTGGCTGTGCCATTTGCAAGCTCTTCCTGTTGCAGCTTTGTGACCTGCTCAACAAGGGGTGACTCAGGTTTGGTTAGGAGAAAGCTAATTCTCTGGATGCTAACAGCAGCGTGCTTTCCCGAGTGTACACCTAGGTTTCATCATCCCTGGAGGGAACCCAGACATTTTCTAAATAGCAGCTAAAAAAGGAGACCTCTCTCCCGAGCTATCACAATGTTAGGGCTGTTGCTTCTGCTTGGGTTAAAATTAGCTGTCCCTTGCCTGGTGGCTGCAGTGCCCTTGGCCCGGCCCACAGCTTGAAAGCTCCTGGCAATGCAGAACCCAAATCTGAAGCTCGATTAAAAGTGTTTCCAGCAGGATCGGTTACGATTTCTGTAGAGACAGTTGGGAGCCAGCAAGTCTCATGTTCCTGCTTCCAAAAGTGAATTCATTTTCCTTTGACAGTTTAGGGAGAGTTGAGTCACATGGAAATGTGGCTGGAATTTATGCTTATTTGAACTTAAACACGGTTGGATTTTCCTCCTTGTATTTTGTGGGGCCCAGAACTATTTTGTGCCCTCTTGGAGGAGAGAAAATCTTCCTGCAGAGCTTGGCATGGCTGGGAAACCCTGAACTGCTTAGGAGGTTTGTGACTCTGGTGGTTGGAGAATTGAGTTTATCTTAGTCCAGTTTAACAGTTTATCACCACTTGAACTTCTTTGTAAAGAATAAATTACTATGAATTCTTAAGTGTTAATGTGTTGGTCAGATTTCCGTAGAAGGATGGAGTAATGAACATATGACAACAGCACATTTTATATTGTAATCTCATACCTGAATTTGTATTCCCCCCAGACAGGGAGGAACACAGGTTATTCACACTGAGACTTAACTACAGACTGTGAGAATGTTGTGAGTCAATTCTGGCAACTCTGTCACTTACATCAAGACTCCACAAATGGTCCACTTTAGTGACTCTTTACCTGTGGATGGGGCCCTGGTGGCACAGTGGTTAAGAGCTTGGCTGCTAACCAAAAGGTTGGCAGTTCGAATCCACCAGCTACTCCTTGGAAACCCTATGGGGCAGTTCT